TTCACTCTGGACATCTATTCCAGAAAAGGAGAAATGTGCACTCACACAAAATCCTGTATATGTGATAGCAACAGCTTTATTCACAAAAGTCAAAGAGTAGAAACAATCCAGATATCCTTCTCAAGGAGGGAATGGTTAAATGGACTGATTCATCCAGGTGACGGACCTCTCTACAACAAAGAGGAACAAACCACTGATAACACCTGACAAGGTAGAGGAATATCCAGAGAACTACTGAGTGAAAAACCAAGCCCCAAAAGTTACACACTGCATGATTTCATTTAAATAATGTTCTTGAGGTCTAAGGAAGAAGAGAGGCAGGAAGGAAGTGGTAACAGCTTTAATAGGGCAATACAAGGGGTCCTTGTTGATGGAAGTGTTCTGTTATCTCCAAATATATCAATGCACTGTTAGGTCTTATACATGGTTTTGCAAGATGTTACTGTATTAGTCAGCCTCATATCACTACAACAAATACCTTACACAGCCTACTTATGAAGTAAAGAGATTTATTCTGGCTCACGATTCTAGATACAAGTACAAAATGGGGTAGCCCCATTGTTTTGGGGCTCTGGCAAGAGCAGAACATCATGACAGGAGGGCATGTTGGAGCTAGTGGTCACATCATATGACAGAAAGCAGGAAAAGTATATGACGTTTCACAGTCCCCAATGACCTAAGTACCTGCCACTAGGATTGCATTCCCAATGCAGCCACCCTGGGGACCAAACTCTTACATTGAGTTTTAATGACCTTTGGGGGACATGATCATATTCAAATCATAGCAGTTATCATTGGGAGGAAGTAGGTAATGGATACAAGGGATCACTCAGTATTATTTCTTACAACTGCATTTGAATCTAGTTATCTCAAAAAAATTAGCTTTTGTTAAAATGGCATTATTTCAAAACAGTTTCTTTTTAATGGTATTTGCCACCAGGTTTTAAACATTTCTAATTTCCTTGATGGCAAGTGATAAAAGAGGTAGGAAAATTCATCTCCCTGATAGTGGTGGTGTACTCCTGCAATTCCAGCTACTTGGGAGGCTAAGGCAGGAGGACTCCAAGTTTACCGCCAGCCTGGGGGCAACTCGGAGAGATCCTATCTCAAAATAAAATTTAAAAGGGGAATCCAAGTCAGGGGTAGAGCACTTGCCTAGTATGTGATGTCCTGGGTTCAATCCCAAGTACTATCAAAAAAAGGGGGGGCCTAGAAAATTCATCTCTAATAGCTTAACTTGGAAGCAGTTACCAAGTGCTTGTCATATGCAACTAGGAAACAGGCAAAGATGCAGAAAACAATGTAGAATATATGTTTGTAGTGAGGTTGACCAAGAACTATACTATTAAACTCAAAACATTTTACATCATGTTCCATTATTTCTGCCCTGTAATCATAACTATTTCTAATCAAGAATACAGGAAGGGCCTGACCAGTGGATGACAAACTGTGGATAAGCAATTCTATAGGGAGTTTTCTTTCCTTCCTTACCCCCAGCCAGCCTAGGAAACTTCCCTACCAGAATCTCCCACTAGAGTTTTCTCCCTATCTCTCCTCAATCATCCTACCACCCACCCCCGTTGCCTGGGTAGAAGGAAGGAAGGGAAAAATGACACACGGGGCACGCCACCCACACACCCACATTCACTCTCATCTCATGCCCCTTGCTGCAATTCCTCTAAAGAAGAGGGTATAAATGGCAAAGAGGGCACTGCCCAGCCTCTTCTTGCCCCATCACTTTCAGCCCTGACCTCCCTCAGCCGTCACACAACCCTCCACTCCATCCATCTCTCCCCTCTGTAGTCCCAGAAGCATTTCCCGAAGCCTCCTCCCATCTTTGCTGAAGCTCTGCCACAGGAATCACATTCCAAGAATAGGAAAACACATACAGAATAAACATAATTCATCAATTATGAATGCATTTCCTTCCAGTGAATCTCTCTAGTAACTTCTAAATAATCCGATTACTTTTAGAAATTAGAGGTTTAGTTTATACCAAGACACCTAATATTAAACTGTTATTCACCCATGGGGCAAGAACCACTTGCACCTGTTAATATATCTTACCTACCAAGCTGAAAGCCAGCAAGTGAAGTCTATGGGCGGTCAAAATGGTATCCCACAGATGCAAAAGCAAGGTACAACAATGACAATAGCCTCTCTATGGCTGGCTAGGTTAATTTGGCTGTCAAGTTGGCTGGGCAGGTTGCCCATCTTCCTTTAACCCTCCAGGCACTCTGCTTCCAAGGCTGGACTGCTACAAAGAGATCATGGGACCTTGCAACAGAGTTCATCTGCTTTATTCAAGCCCACAGTTTCACATTTGTTTCTAACAAATTTAGTTGGTTTCCAAGTTCACAGCTAATCAGAAGGGACAAATCTTCAGAGAGAGAAAAGCACTTCATTCATCCAACAATCATGTTGAGTACCTAAGCACCAGGCACTTGAAGATAAGGCAGTGGCCAATACACAGTGACCCCTATCCTCCCTAGTTTATGTAGGGGAGAAAACTTAGAAGTAGAAAATTAAAATAATTATAAATAAAATAATCACAACATGTGTTAGTTGCTCATAGAGACATAAACAGAGCTGAGGATCTTATACTCTCCCCATCTATCCCACACTAGAGCCTGAATCCAGTACCAATGAGCTACATTTCCAGCCCTTTTTATTTTTTATTTTGAGACAGGCTCTCATTAAACTGTTGAGACTGGCCTCAAATTTGCAATCCTCCTGCCTTATAGCCTCCTGAGTAGCTGTGGAGATCTTGCAACTTCTCAGGATTATGAAGAGTAATGATCCTTTCAAGGCCTATAGAAATGCAGAATTAAAAACTCACACAATCCATTGACCTCAAATATACCCTAAAATTTATATTTAAAAATGAAATCCAATGTGTATGTAAGGGAGAAACCAGGGCTCAGCCCTACACCTGCTGCCAGGGCTGTTAGATATCCAACACAACTATCTGAACCCCCAGGACACAGGATGCATGCCTTATTTTAGGTAATTTAGCCAATCCATCTAGCTTGTTTTTACTATTTATGAACTGAAAACAGAAGCCATCAGACTTCTTGAGCCTCATGAATGGAATAATATGCATGGTTGAGTTTTATAAACAGCACAGTTCGAATGCTGCTGTTGTTGCTAATGTTGCTAAAAGGTTGATAAACATCCTGCTTAACACCCACCCAGACTCCAAAAAATGAAATCCCAGGTGGCAGCTTGAATGCCATCCCTATTTCCTAGAATATAAGAACCAACTAAAGGGCTTAAGGTGGAATTTCCCTAGACAGAAGTAACAAAAATAATCACTGAGAAGTGAGGAAAGGAAGCAGAAAGTATGCTAAAAGAACACCTCCAGTTACTTTGAAATTTGGCCTAGGATGCACGCTGCAATAAGCAAAAGCACTCTTTCTTTTCCTAGTCAAGGTCACTTAGCATCCTCCTCCCTGGGATCTACAACCCTTACTCATTTCATACTTCATTTACTTTAAATAACTTCTGTAGAATTAACAGGGAAGCTCAAAACCACAACGTGGAAAAAAAAAATTCTTTTGGAAGGGTGAAATGCCTTCCAAACAAGCAACAACAATCAACCCTACTCGAACTGGAGACTGTATATTTAACGTCAACACTCTCACTAGCCTTGCTTTCTACATTTGACTCCAGTCAAATGCAGATCAATCACACCACTGATCTTGGAAAAATGATAAGAAAAACAAACTATCCAAGATTATCTAATATTTTCAATCTGCCACAGTATTCACCTAGGCCTCAATAGGGAAAAGAAGTTTTGAAGAATCACTGTGGACGAAGCCTGCATTTCTTACAGTTGGAATAAAATTTTCCCAAATTCAACCCCAAGGTTCTTGTTAATTTAGTTTTGCTTTCTCAAACAATATTATTCATAGACTAACAACTCTGGGTTTGTTCCCTACAATTAAAGTTCCACTTCTTCCCATTTATAAAGCCTGACCTACATTAAGTTATGAAGTGACATCTAAAAGCTTCTACCTGGCCTTCCTTTCTGAACACATACAGCTGTAAATGGGGGGGGGGGGTTAAAAAAGGTAGAGATCTGTAGCCCTCTTGTCACACATCAGGAATTGCAGAGAAATAATAATAATTATTATTATTACTATTGGTACTGGGAATTGAAACCCGAGACACTTAACCTCTGAGTCATGTCCCCATCCCTTTTTGAGACAGGGTTTCACTAAGTTTCAAGGGGTCTCACCAAGTAAGTTGCTGAGGATGGTCTCAAACTTGTAATCCTCCTATCCTGCCTCAGCCTCTCCAGTCACTGGGATGACAGGCATAGACCCTGTGCCCAGTCATTTCTTTTTCTTATATGCAGTGCTAGAAGCAATGAGGGGGGAGACACCACCTTAATCCCTGGTATCTGATCAGGTTCCTCCGCCTCAGCCACCTGCCAGGTGATGCCTCTGGTGGCTCTGACCTGCCTTTGACAGAGAATTCTAAACCTATTCTCAGAATGATCTCTTTATTAATGATCTCCAAGGCATTTTCCATCATTTCCCTTCCTTCACCAACTCCCTTTTAACCACTGCCTGAAAATTCTTCCCTTAGCCTCCAAAGCATCAACCCTCAAACTACTCTATCCACCAGTGCCTCTCCTCTGTTCCCACTAAGATCAGCCTCTGTACCCACCTTGCAAAGATGGATCCCTGTCTCATTCATCATCTCTGCTCAAAACCCTCTGATTACTTGTCATCTCCATCAGGATGAAAGTCCAATGTAGAATGGCCAACCTCTGCATCATCTAGCTGGTCTGCCACCTCCCGAGCCTCATGCCTTTCTACTCTCCTCCTTTATATCCTGCCCACATTTTGTTTTGCACTTGTTCTCTGCCAGAACGTTCCCTCCCCTCCTGTGGGACTTGCTCAAATATCAATTTCCCTACACCCTGCCTCCAACTTAAAATGTCCAACTCTATGTCCCTAAAAACTCTCTATATAATTTATTGCATTACTAACCCACTGTAAGTTCCATGATTCCAGGGATTCATCTGTTTTGCACAGTGATGTTTCCACCAGGTCTAGTACAGTGCAAGTTAGCTGACAAAGGTTCGACAAAAATCCGGGATGAAAAGTCACTTAATAAAGGTTTGCTGAGCACCTGTTCCTGTCCAAGTCCACTAAGACAAACCACTGTCCCTGCCTTTAACGCCCCAGATGAAGCATGGCACCACAAACGTGTTTAAAATCAGGATTTCAAACTAACAGGTCAAAGAACGTGCCAAAGTTCAGAGGAAGAGTCCTGGGCTTAGCCTTTCTGGGACCAGTCCAGTTTGCTACCATCACACAGTTCACCAGGGGCCATTTCCGGAGGATCAGCCCTGGGAGCAGCGGGTCCCACTTGCAATCCCCAGGCCTGAGAAGTTACTTATTCGGATCGGCAACTTCCGGCCTCTTGGCGCCGGGCATGATTTTAAAACCCTTAAGGCGTCTGCCCTCGGGCCTCAGCCTCCTCCCCCTTAGACCCGTATGCAGCCCCCAACATCTGTTGGGAGCGCAACCCGGCTGCGGACCAATAACCCGCACCACCGCACACCCACTGCTTTGGCGTTCCCCACCTGCTCCCGACGTCCCCTGCGGCTTGCCCTGCGCGTGCGCAATCTGCCTTTCGTGAGCTTGGGCGGAGCTGGCGGGGAGATGAACCTAAACACGCCCCCGACGTAGAAGCCGCTTCTGATTGGCTGTTGATGCTCGCCCGAGCGAGACTGGGACTCCCGGGGCTGTGCATTTAAAGGCGCTGGCCAGTCCGCTGTTAGCTGTCGCTTCCTGCTCTTGCCGCTTCCACTCCGAGGAATCCTTGTAACCCCGCCAGCATGTCTCAGGTACAGCGCGTGCCCTGCCAAACTGCGAAGGTGGAGCGGGGCGGGAGGCCAGAGTGGGGATCTCGTCCGGCTGGCAGAACCCCGCGGAGTCCTTCCCACGGATGCCCTGCTATTGCTCCTGGACCCATGCCCAGCCCTAATTCTTTGCACCGAGCCTTGTAAGCGGAACTTTCCGTTTGTGGATTTCTAAAACAGCTACCCACTCCGCAACTGCTGGAAAGTTGCCCATGGGGTGGACTTCGTGGCGAAGCAGGCTAGAGTGGGAGGCTAGGGTCCTCAATAGAAAGATGGGGTGATTGACGGGACGGTGATTGCATGTACTGAAAGAGCAAGGAGACTGAGCCCCACACTTGGAAGGATCTGGCGGGACTTGGCGGTGGGGGAGCGAAGTCAAGGCCAGGTGGGAAGGCAAAGAGACCGTAGCTGGGTAGTGGAGGTCAGGAGAAGTAAGAGCTAAGTCTGGCGTGCGGGGAGAGGAGAGTGGCTGATCAGGTAGAAGTGACCTAGAGGCCTTTCCCTGCCCTCTAATGTAGACCCTTGTCCAGCACCGAGCTATGTGGGGCGATCTCTGGCTCCTCCCACCTGCCTCTCCCCACTCCGGGCACTAGAACAGAGGTCAGCGCTGAACTCCCAGGCCCCATGGGAAAAGGGGCCAGCGGACTCCTGCTGGAGAACACTGTATTTGTGTCCTGTTCCTTTATCAGATGTTTCGAGCACAGTGTGCCACCCCTCTCCTTAGGTTAGGGCTTCACTGGGACCTCAGCCATTCCCTAGTCTGGCCCAGTGGTGGCCAGGCAGTTGGCCGTGCTACTTTTCCGCAGTGTCCACCCACTGTAGGCCAAGTCTTGTCCTGCTTCTCTCACCACTGTATTTCCAACACCTGATGTTTCTGTTGTAGGAGCACCAGAAAGTAGTTGTAGGTTGAATAAGTGAACTAATGCACCTCCCCTCTTTATTTTACTGAATCCGTAGTGGGGAAGGGAGACACTCTTGAGGGGTGCTGCTTTTCCTGTCCTGCATGGCACTAGGAATGCTGCCTTTCCATCCTCTCATCCTGTCCCTGGGCTCCATTCAGGCCACTTTCTGCCCTATCCCACTTGGAATCCACTCTCATTCCTCTCCCCTCCCTCCCACTTAGGCTGAGTTTGACAAAGCTGCTGAGGAGGTTAAGCACCTCAAGACCCAGCCAGCAGATGATGAGATGCTGTTCATCTACAGCCACTTCAAACAAGCAACTGTGGGCGACATAAATACAGGTATGCTGAACTGCTCATCAAAGCAGGGGCTTGCCAGTGGCTGGGAGTCCTTGATTGGAAGTCTGTGGGAACTTCACTTTCAAACTACCAGAGGCTCTATTCTTCAGGGATGGCATGGTCACAGTTCTTGGGGTTTAAGCTAGGGAATTTCCCCAAAGACCATATTCCTGGATCGTCAGTGACTCAGGTAGCAGAATTCCAATCCTGGTTTTAGAAGGGCTTATCTAATTATCACCAGAAGTTTCCATCTACTGGGGAGGAAATAAAACCCCAGGAAAAGAGCTCTGTTCCAGGCTTTCAGCTCAGAATTAGCTTTGTTGAGCAGTATTGCTTCCACCCTGGGTGGACAGTCCTCCCACCAAGCCTTATGGAGAAGCAGAGAAGCACCTGGTGTCTTGGGACAGTCAGGAATGTTTTTGTGAACTACAGTCTGTACCTTCCTGATGATTTCTGTTCCCTATCCAAAAATCTTGTTGCAGATTTTGAAGCTATCATCTACAATGTTATCTTTCCTGACTTGGGCAGTTTTTAGACAAACTAAGTTCCTGAATTAAAACTGTACAGTGAGGTGAGAGCTTAATGCATTCCATGCAGGGACTCAAAAGTCAGTGGTCATGTCAGCATCAAAGGAGTGACCCTCGAGCCTTCAAGAGGAGGGGAACCATAGCCCCAGTTCCTCAGGAGCTAGGGTGGAGGGTGGAGCTGGTAGGCTGGCAGCTGGCCAGCTGCAGCAATGCCCAGAACTAAGGATCTTGGGCAATGCCAAATGAGACTCTATGGTTCACATCAAGGGCTTAGTTAAGGAAGGTCTTGTAGCAAAGATGAGTTTTACAGTAGGTGTATAAATTATCTCTTCCCAAATAGGGAAAAGAGAGTGGAGTGGGTGTGGCCAGAGGGGCTGAGATGCTTTTCTGTCACATAGTATTTTCACAGAGCGTGGCCTCTGTTTGAGCTAAAGGGACTTGCTCTCATATAAATGTAGGTAGATGGACATGGAGTCTATCACTGCCTGATTGGAGATATTGGCTCTCTCTAGAGCTGTACTTTTCATACAGTAGCCACTAGCCACTGATGACTATTTACATTAGAACTGAAAATAGTTAAATAGTATCTAAAGTTCAGGTGCTAGCTACATGAGCTCTTTTTCTGGGAAACTTAGTTGCCACAAGTGGCAAATGATCCTGAATTGGATATTGCAAATATACATGCCCACAGTGGATAGAGGGCCCCCAGTGGATAGAGGGCTCAGTGAGTGCTGCTTGGGATTCTGGTGATTACTATTGACTGGGTATAGTCTTCTTAGGTCCCCCGAGGAATGCTGCCTTGAAAGCACTCAGGAGCACTTGCTATTTTCTTCAACACAGTGTTCCAGGTTATGGACACTGCAGTCATTCCTCTTAGCAGTGAAATAGATCATCGGGGAGGAAAGGGAATGTTTCCCAACTACAGATGATTACCCATCTGGAAATAGTCTAACAACTTGCTAGAACAATGGGACCAGGATATGAACAGACAGTTCACATGCAAGAATACCCAGAAGACTGATAACAATGATGCGTTAGGGAGAGAAATTGGGTGACGGAAAGCAGAAGTAGGAGGAACTTTGATACTGCTAACCTTTGTAGCTTTGAATTCTGAGCCATGTGCATAGATCTTTAATTTTTTAAGTGATTTTTTTTTTTTTAAAGGATAGAATTTGAAGGTAACTTGCAATTCAGAAACTCTCCTGTAATGAGAACAGTTTCCCTCCTGTTTTCTCTAGATTCTTAAGTTTGGATTTCTGTATACCTGGATCTGTTAAGGCAGAAGCCACTGTGCAAGACTCATTAAATTCCATGAGAGAACCTAGAAGGAATCAGTTTAATAAAAGATGACTTTCATGGAAAGAAAGTTGATGAAGTTCAATGTTAGAACTTGAGCAAATCTAATAATGTATTCCCTTGCCTTCTTTAAGAACGGCCCGGAATATTGGACTTCAAAGGCAAGGCCAAGTGGGATGCCTGGAATCAGCTGAAAGGTAACTATTTCAAATCAGTTTCCCTCTTTTGTGAAGCCCAGTAATGAAAGACTCTTCATTGTAGAGTACACACGGGCAGGAAGGAAACAAAGTAAAGGAGGCACATGCTGGAAATCAGCCTGACCTGAGCCCAAGTGGGGAAAACTAGGCCACCTACTTTCTCTCCAGATATTCTTCATGCCTTTTCTAAAAGTGCCATCTCTGCAAAAGGGTATCATCTGGAGGGGAAGGGCTAGGGGTCTAGGCCAGTGAGAATGGGCTGGGAGGTAATGTCTTTGGATACATTTGGAATAAGGGTGGATTCCACACCCCCCTCTCCACAGGAAGGCCAAGCAGTGACCCCTTAGCTGGAATGGCCCTCCCCAGTTCCCTTCCAGCCAGAAAGGCACATGAAAAAAGGGATGAGGTAATGCCTGGCCAGCCACTGGTAGGCTCAGTGAATGAAGCTATTATTCACTGAGCCCCAACAGCCGAAAAGTATCCAAGTTTCTATTGAATCACGTGTCCCCGTGGCAGCAAGACCCAAAGTTGGCATCAAAGCTCCTGGCAGCTTTTGTGTCCTCACTAGCTAGTTGCTGAATAAGCCTGCTGTCTTCCTGCAAATGAGAAGTCCATGAATTCAGAAAAGACCACAATACAATAAATATACTCCTAGGATTTGCAAGCGGGGTTGGGGGGGCGGGGGGGGGCGATGCCCGTCTAATTGTTCATTTTCATCAGGCACTTCAGAATAAGTCCCAGAGGGCCTCTCTTTTTACCAGAGAATCCCAGGGAACTGGGTGTGACTGTCTTAGAAGATATATTCAGTGTCTTTTATGCTGCAGCAGGGAAAAGAAAGATTTGCCTCATTCCCCTCCAAGAATCAGCTGCCTTTGCTCAGACTCTCAAACCTCTTCTAGCTTCTCTCTGGTGAGAAGAGTGTGGCTAGCTTTGCTCTTTTGCTGCCAGCTTAGTAGCTCTAGGAGATAAGAGCCCAACACAGAAATATTTGATTGAGTAAAACCAAGCATGAAATCATCAGGACAAGTAAAGTCACCATGGTGACAGTTGCTTGCTTGACTTGGAAGGCTAAGTCTCACCCTGTCATGGGAGACCCATGGGGGACAAGCATTGGATCTGCCCCTCCATGCATGATGAGTTCAGTGTGTTACAGAGTATAACTCAGGGCCACAATTATCAGGTGTTTTTAAGTCTAATTATCAGCAGATTTCTGAGATGTGGGTAACCCCCCTCCACATGGAGGAGAAACTCAGCCCTGGAAAATTCAACTGGAGCTGATGAGGGCCTTAAAACCTGCTGCTTTTCTACCACACTGCCTCCCTGACAGATAATCCTGTTGATTCCTTCTAGGAACTTCCAAGGAAAGTGCCATGAAAGCTTACGTCGACAAAGTGGAAGAGCTA